GCTGCCATGCAGTAAGCCTTTTACTGATGCAAGAGACACAAATGTTTTTGGGATAGGAACTATGAAAGTTAATAAGTGTAAATTTCCTTCCAAACTAGAACTAATCAAAAGTTATTCCTCAGACCAGAGGCTTTGAAATGAAGAGTGGCCCCTGGCTGGAAGCCATCCGACAGCTTGTTCCAATCCTATTGACTGGGATTACCTCAGCCAAGGTTATATCCTAGATGCAGCGTCCACTTAACTCCATTTCAGCCTCTTATTGGCCGCTCCGGTTGCTAGCTTAGACAGATGTCAGCAGCATGTGTTCAGGTGATCACACATGGATGCTGAAGGATTTTCCTCTCCTTTTGGAAGGTTTTTTTGTGTGTTTCTATCTCTAGAATGATCCCTCATTTCAAAAGCGAACTGATGCTATATGCATATTATTCTATGCACTGTAACCAATGTTATGGTTGTAATAATAATGATGCCAATAGTATGATATAGATAATATTTCAAGGCAAAACATGGCATATAGGGCTAAAGATTTTTATTCCTGTTAAAAAAGATTTTGTTCTCTCAACTCTCACAACATTCATTGCCAGTATGAGCGATTGCTTTAAAGGTAAATAAAAGATGCCAAGCATATTCTTCAGGAGTAAAAGCTGCAGGTTAGTTACCTGATGAAATCATCTGGATTTCCTTATACAGAAAAGTTTTCAACCAGTCTAAATAATAACTGGTTACAAACATTAGTTTCTAATGAGCTTGTAAATAAACTGACTTGGTAAAATCTGTTTCATATCATAGCTGCACAAAGACAAAACTTTCAAAACCTTAAAAAATTTTAAGGTTCACAATAAGTCAAATCTCTGTTTATAAGTCATTAAGCCATAAGTGGAGTCTGTCAAGTCAGGTTCAATATAGTTATATTCCGAATAACTCAACATTCTTAAGAAAAAAAATAAATACCCTTACATTTTAACTAAGGCAACCAGCACCTTCAATGCAGTGTCTGAGAAACAAAGATATCAAGATGCTTACATCCACACCAGTACCAGCTTATTGTATCGACTCATTAACTCGAAGGTGATCTGTCACACTAAGCATGCTTGTAGCTACAGTGGAAAGGAAAAACTCCAGCAGAACCAGGCTCAGTGCGAGCGGCCATCTGCTGAGGCCGACTGGGGTTCAAGGAGACAGAAGCAGAGATACAAAAGGCAACTGTCAACCAGCTCCACAGGCGGCCCCGTCCACGAACACACAGCCAGGCAGACGAGCTCCGAGCCAGATCCCATGTCAGAGGATGAAAGAGAGCACATCCAGTTAGTCACAGTCAGAGAAACAGGACTACACTGAAAAACAGGCCGATCTCAAACATCTATAAACAAAGCTGTGTGAACATCAACACACTTCAGTACAACTTAATTCAACCCTATATGTTGAATAACAAAATGCTACAATCCAACAAAATCTGCCCAGAGTTGTTTTCCATAAACAACTGTGACCCAGCCACCACAGCGATGCCAGATTCACTAAGTGTCATGTGACACATCACATACCGGTATTAACATGTCTGCAGATGGATTCATAACCATGTAGACTACTCCTCTTTTTACATTTAGAAGACAAACTAGGATCAGTGCACACTCAGATATGCTAAGCTAATTTTACATAACTGAAATAATGATATTTATTATGGTTGATTTTGAATTCTTACCTTTAATGCTTATTGGATTTTTGGCTGGAACATTGAAAACCTGAACGCTGAACTTTTACTCAGGTGAAGTAAAATACAATCCATTGTGATTTATGATCAGTCCATGGTTGAATGAAATCTCCCCAATAACTGTCGGGGAGGATGGAATGTTGCTGACCTCCATCTATTCCCTGTTAGTCCAGTTCGCACATCCATCAAACTTGACAGGATCGGCAGGCCCATGCGATTTCTGGACTCGTCTTTAAGCACAGCAAATTGTGAAAAAGCTCTTTCAACTGGTGCATCTGATATAGGGAATGTGAGGAATTTAATTGCACCAACCACTAAATCCTAAAAGCAGCTGTTTCCTCCAGCATCTTTAAAAGATTCCTCTTCATACCAGAACGCATCGATTGTGAGTGCAAAGTTTATCACACCAGATCCACCTGCTGCTAAAACTAGCATAATCTGTGGCGCCACTTAAGTGGTTCTCTATGGTAAACACCCCGGCAGATGACATTAGCCAATCAGTGATGGAGAAAGGTCAGGGATGCTTTGCTATGAACCAGTAATGATGAATGATTGGTGGACATATTTTTTAAAGGAAAAGTCCTTTCAGCAAAGAATAATCATTGGATTATTATCTATACCTAAAACCAATCATTTGGTGGTGATTTAATGAATTTAACAATAATCAGTAAATAAATGAAAAAACTGAATGAAAATGAAAGATTTTCATGGCAATCCCGAGTCTTGGAGCGGCCATTTTTACCCAAATATAGTAACACCTCCCTCCTGCCATCAAGGAATAATCAATAGATCATTATTTATCCCTAAAACTAATACAATCGTGGTGATTTAATGAATTTAGCATTAATCAGTAAAATAATAAAAAATATTTTCATTGCAATGACTGAGCGGCCATTTTTGCCCAAATATAGTAACCCCTCCCTCCTGCCATCTTCCAGCAGTGACGTCACGGTGCGGTAAGCCTAGCGCCATTCTCCCCTCTTTACAAGCTAAATCAATGGGAACTACTAGACACATCTGCAATCAACAACAATTATTGAAGATTTCCAGAGGACTTCACCATTGAAATTCACCAGAGCTATAGTGAAACTGACAATGCCCACGTGCATGGCAGCTGGATGCTGGAATACATCTGGTAAAATTAAAATAAAAGAGTTATTTCGCCTTTCTGATTCCTGATCCTCCACGGACGGGTTGGTCGTTGGATCGTCAACTTGAAGAGGGAGGATTTGCCATCGAACTTCTGGCCAGAGAAAAAACACGTAATATGTAGCCAACATTTGGAAGAAGAATGTTTTCAAGATGACTTGGATAATAGCGCGTTGTGACAAACACCAGATACAGCACTGGGACTTGATCAACAGCCGATACCGCACCGTCACAATGTCACAAACCAGTATGTGGCAGTAGTGTTCTTTGACAAACATGGATGCCTCCAGTAAAGCACATTCACATGAAAATTACTCTTAATTAAAAACACTGATCATTTATTGAACAATATGGAAGGGTCTCATATTTAAAGTACTTTCAGAAGATTGAACTGAGCAATCATGATGAAAAATTTTTTTTTTTTTATTACTGATGAACGCTAAATTCATTAAATCACAGTGAAAGTATTAGTTTTAGCTATAGATAATGAGCCAGTGATTATTCTTGCTGACTGGACTTGTCCTTTAAACCTAAGCATTACAAATATATCTCACCCCAACCCTAAACTAAACCCAATTCACGGCTGAGCCCTAAACCTAACCCCTTGCAAAATATCTTCTGAGGACCAGGAAAATATCATCACTTTATGATGACCTCACTTTATTGGTAAAATAAGAAAATGGTTCTCACTCAGATGGCCAAACAGGAACACAGCCACACACAGCATCTACTATCTTTCTATGCAGCTGTATAAATCTGGGACAAAGTCATCAAATTAAATTTAGGCATTGGCCCTTTTCCCTTCCTACTCATGTTGTTGTCCTCACTCTCATCTGTATAATCATCCACTCTTCTTCCTCTCTTTTAAATTGTCTGCTTTCCATCACCCCCCTTCCCCCACACATAAATCCCTATCACCACAGCTACTTCCACTCGCATCCAATAAGAATCAGTCCATCCTCTCTGGTTTTGCAGATAATCCCCTGATATTTTCCTCTTGCAAAGTTTTTGATGTCCTCAGATACACTTTTCTTTATTTAGTTTTAAAGTAAATAGCTTACATGTTATTGGTGAAGATTTTCTCTATATAGAGATAATTTAATATTCTCCCAGTAACTGCTTTATTAACTGAGGTCGGGTTTATATAAATGTTTAACTGGTCTTCCTCTTTTTTTATTCAGGTTCTACCAGCCAAAGGTCTCCAACAGGGACAAAACCAAGGATAACACTTGACCCACACATACGCCTGAAGTCTGATAAGTTAGACTTGGTGAGTGTTATCAAATCATACGTGAGGAAGACGGATCCTTCCAAACACATTCAACACATTTTATCACATTACAGCCATGATCCCTCATGCATTTCTTTGTAGGTTTCTGTTATTCAGCAACATAATATAGTAAATAGTAAATAGTAATAGTAAATTAATGTAAAGTGAATGGAAAATGATCAAACTGTACGTCTGTCCATCCATCACTTGTCAATGTCCACTTACTCATATATATATATGTATATGTATGGTGTTAACTAAATAGAAAAGCCACGTATTGCATGTTGAAACATATAAAAGACATTACTACAATGGGTGAAATGACTGTTGCCACAAGCACAGCACAAGATCTGAGTGAACTATCACATTTTCCTCTCTACTCGTGAAGAAATCCTCCTCACTGTCTTGCCACTGTCAGTCAAAAATTATTAAGTTCGTAGGGAAGCCATATTTGAATGTCAAATAATTCTGGCTTAAACATGTATATAAATGTACTCTTTATCAGACCATATTGTCCCAAAATTTATGAATTTTGTATTTTTAACATAA